ATAAAACTACAGATACTGCGACGACACGATGCTACGCGAAAACCTTCGATCTTTCTAATCCTACGTTCATTGTAATTTTCTAACGTTATCCCGTTAATGTTTTCAGAATCGTAATTTTTGAAACTTTAACAAGTTATATTTGGTCAGTGTGGCATCTGAGTATCGCTTTGAATATTTTGCACACGTGTGGTATTAAAGTTTCGTCCGAGACATTTCTACCGTGTATTAGTTCGCTCGATTCGCCAACAAAGCAGTTACATACACAGACGTATGAAACGCGTTCGAAATGCGGTCGAGATCTCTTTAAATTCATGAGAAGAGAAGAATGTAGTTCAAGAACATTCCGAAAAGAGCTTTGAGAAGGAGCGAGTTACGGCAGAACTTGCATGAAATCGTTTTTCTCTCTGCGATTCTTTGAGAAATTTTCATCCTACCACGTAAGTCAATATAATATATGCGATGTTAAACTTTGGAAATTGAATGGGATTTTTTCGCCAACATTACTTCGCCTATGGGATTTTAATCAGAAGATATGCCGCGATACGATTTCAGAATTCTAGGAAATCGAGCCAGAGAGAAATAAACGTGATGGACAAGGAGATTAAACAAGACAAGGTTGAAAACGATCGTACGAAAAGAAATCTCGGCAACAAGTTCGCAGAGGAACGGCGCTATAACTCATTTTCATAGAGATTACTAAAAGAGAGCAAATACGTATCTCGGAGGGAAACGCGAGAGCGAAACGTGATGAGGCTTCCATAATTCGTAAATGAAAGTTGTTAGCGCGAAAGGAAAACGTACGGTCGCTTGTAAAAGAGAGGGTGGTGAGTAAGAAATTATGCGGAGCAAGAATTATAAAAATATTAAGATAAAAGCTGCAAAAAGCGGAAACTGAGGCGAGGATCAGAATAAAAGTGTAAAAGCGGAAGGAGAGGTCCGTTATACGGAGAAAAGTACAAACGAGTAAATGCTGAGGGGCTTGCTGCTACTCATTTTGTAAACTTTCCTCGAAGGGCAAAAGCCCCAAAGAGGACATAGAACGAAGGGCGGGAATGAAGGGTGGAAAGGAGTAGGAGGAGGTTCTTGAACCTCGAATTAAAATGCACGACGTTCTCTTCCCTGCTGGATTCAGTTTTCCCTTGCAACCGTTGCCAACCACAACTCTTTCTTGCCTTTTCCTGCGAACTTCGACACGCGAATCTCGGATCGTTCGAGCTCCAAAAACGGCAGGCTTGAAAAGAGAACTTTGCTGAAAAGACCACGTCCCGTGTTTCATTTTCGTGTAATCCCGATTTCCTGTGACTCGTAATTTGCCTTTAGATGCCAGTGCTAAATGCCACTGCTAATTCGTAGCTTTTTCATCATTTGGCAATGTACTTGCATATAGAGTAGTTGCACGACTGAAAAACTGAATTCTTATGGGCAATAGATCACTAGCTCTCGTTAAATTGTATACCTTTAAGCTCGTTTAATTGTATAAATAGTATACCTTAAACTCGTTTCTTTTTGTCCTTTTTATTTTACAGTGAAATTTCGTGACTTCGGTGATATCACGTGTGGTATTAATGTCTATATAGACATTCGCTATCTTCCGATATAGAAATCGAATTGGCGTAATCTGGTTTGGAGAAATCTAGAATACGTTCGTAAACCTTATGATCTCACCAAAAGATACTATTAATAAATCTTCCACTATTAGGTAATCTGCAGGGAAACTGCTTCTGCGTATTTTGCGCTTAGCGTTCAAATATAGAAGCAAATGAGGAAACTACAAGTACTTCCGATACAAAACGGCAGTAAAAATTTACGATATCTGAAAAACGATTTGCACCTTTTGAGTAATGTACACATCTATCTACATTGTTTATAAATAATTTTATATGTAATATATATATAATATTTATATATTTAATTATTAATTTGTAACTTATCAATTTATGATTAATTGTTAATTTAATTAATAATTCATATATATATCATATTATCCGTATATTATCCGTATATATCAATTTTCCGTATATTTAACAGTGTTACAAGATAATCGTGTTTAATTTCTTATGTAGTTTATTATGACAATCTCTTTGTACTTTAAAACAGTTTGCATCAGCAATAGAAACAGTTGCAGTACCTTCATCCTGAACTCTTTTAAAAACGTAACAAGAAAGAGATTAACTTTTTAAAATAATGCGCTAAGAAAGATCTGTACTTTCCCAAAAATATTATAAGATAAGAAAGTGTGATAAAAGCGATGAATTTAAGAATTAAAATACTTTTTACAAACAGAACCCTAAGGATAAATATGGGACGGATTTGAAACTTTTATTTCGAATAATAATTACAAGCTAAATTAAATTGAATTTGATACACATATATTTACCACAAGGCTCTTCTCTTAGAAACCTCAATTATCTTTGTTTGAGAAATTCTAGCAATTTCAATATTATTCTCTACCGTCGAAATGGCAGAGTGCGTAATGAAGTACCCAAGATAGAACTCGCACAGAGATATAATAAGACCCTTTGCCAAAGTTAACTCGAAGTTAGGTCAGATGGTTCAGAATGGCACTAGCGGTAGTTGGCACTGTTACTCGCGGCTGCGATTTCCACAATTAAGAGCAAACACCGATCAAAAGATTATGAAGCAGAGATATTTTATTTTCAAACGTGTGCACATTTAAGATATATTATTATAAATCTGAGCAGTAAGTTAAACGAGAAACAACGTGAATATTTATTTTCTCTCATAAGTATGTATCAAGTATGTATAAGTTTTATCAAATGGGCGTGAATATGCCGAAATACTTCAGTTACCGGCTACGCCCAGTTATTCGATACTTTACGTTACATTACGATCAGAATTTTAAAAACCTTCTACTTCCTTAAATGCGACGCGATAAATTGTTAATAACAATAATAACAATAAAAACAACAACAACAATAATAATGATAATAATAATAATAAATTATCGACAAATTTGCAGTTGAAATAAATTAATCAAACGGACTGATTCTTGAAGATATATCAAAGAACAGTGGTTGATGGTTGATAGCAGCTTTAAAATTTAACGAAAACAGAATGAGAAAATCAATGCTGCAAGACTGGCTCCAGCACAAGTATCCTTAACATCGTCATATAAATACGAGCTCATTAAAGATGGTAGTCGACAAAGTACGAACCAAGGTAAATATCCAATAACTTCGTGAAAGAAGATAAAAGAAAACATATCTTCATATTATATCTTCTACGCCTCCTACTGCAAAAAAATTAATCGCCTCAAATTATGTCCCCCACGAAACCATCTACGTTTATTTGAAACATTTTTCGTTAAAATCATTATTTATGCAATAATCGTAGTTAAGTATACATCCTGTTTACATATACAGGTATACTATATTCGACTTGTTATGTGTGAGTTAAGCGGAAATATACTTTTATCAAATGTACTTATCAAAGTAAATAAGCGGTAACACCGAAACCGCAATAACGATAATATAAACCTACTGTTACACTTATGAACATTCAGTAACTGTTTTTAGTATTGAATTTATAGTACACTGATCTCATAAAAAGATATTTACTTAAGTGTTACTTCCAATTATTAATTCATTATTAATTGATGAACAGTAGTAGTATATATTTAGTACCTGTACTTAATACGCACGTTTTATGCAGACAAGAAAAGAGAAAGATTAAAATTATCGGAATATAAAAGAGTAGACGTCAACGAATGAAAGACTGAAGAGGAAAGAAAGAAGAGAAGAACCGATTTAGAGTGCTTAATAATATGTCTTCGGAGTTGGCTGGCGAATGACTCGAAAGGGTCAGCTTGCAATTAGCTCGAGGAGGTCGCGAACTTTGCCGAGGAAATAAAGTTCCCTCGTGAATTGGATTAACTTGCGTATACAAACGTGACACGAAGGTTGGTTGGACGTGCAATTTGTTTCTCAGAGCCGTGCGTAGTTACCACAAAATATGCTCAAGGGCTTTTGTAGCATCATCATGACATAGACGCGTACTTATTCGCGATACACGAACGTCGAGTATGTAAGACATCTCGAGTGGAGTACTTTTAGCAACCGGGAGCCTATTCTTGCGTTAAGTTTCTGCACGAACGTTGCGAATGAAAACAAACTACACGTGCACCGTTCGGGAAATTTGCTTCTTTAGCTTTACAAGCAAGGACATGGCCAACTTCTGTCGAACCGTTGGGCACGATGCCAAATATCAGTACATGTAAATGCGTTTACTGTTTCTTGTCGCGACATTCAGTTTGTCAAACGGAACTATAAGTACCCAATCTATTACTCGTGTGTTCCCATAATACTTTATATGCTTCTAGGCAGAAATAACGGTTAAATATGTTCCTTCTAAGAAACCAATTTATCCCGCGATTTATCATAATGTTCAACATTACTAACATTCCGAGGATACAGTTACTTTCCTACAAATGAGCTGAGCATCAATCAAATTCTAATTAACTTCACCGCGCTACTCGCTGACTTTGAAAGACAACGAGACAAAACGTTGTGCCTCTCGTACTGGCTTCATCGATAGGGGCGCTATAAAAACCGGATGACACGATCGAGATCGCGTGACTGCCTAACTCGCCACGTAAATTATTTATGAATTACAACCTAGTATGTGTTGCCTACAGCGATAAACACGTGCACAAGTTAGCTGTATAAACGAGAACTGGTGCGATTTATATCTATTTATTAGCTAACCATCCAGGAACTACTTTTTTCTAAACTAACATTCTTCTTTTATTCGACTACGACAGAGAAATGGTATTGTGTTTGGTCTTCATGTACGTATGTGTGTAGGTTTGTTTGTACTCTTGTAATTTAAAAACGGCTTGACCGATTCTAACTTTGCAGGCTATGTAGCACATTGAGACAAATAAAATTGCGAGAGATACAACAGCTGCAAGGAACGTTCATGTGCTTAAACCGCTAAATTCTAAAAGAAAATGTGACATTTTTTTATTATAGCTCATTTACCTATGGGTTCTCGCTGATGTCAAATAGGATTAATCTAAAAAGAATTAAATAAAATTAACATTAAAGAAAATACCCGATTATGCAAAATTAAAAGAATAAAAAATACAAGATATACGAGTTTCACTCAGAAATATGAGATACATATTCAGATAGGTATTTTCAAGTAACTGATACGGTTACCGAATTTGCAGATAAGCAACGTTTAAAAATAAAGTAGTCGGTCGCTCGCAGTATTTATAGAGTTTAATTGTTACTTTGATAATTTTAAACGTTACTTACCAGTAAATTCAGTAACTATCGTCCGTGCGAAAAGTATTCGTGCAATACTTAAATTTAACAAAATTATCGTAGAACCTCGTCTAGTGACAAAATTTTAACAAATAAATGCTTTATTTTCACGACAGGAGAAGGTGTCGCATATTCTCACTTTTTTTTTTAAATTATTCTACAAACTTGTAAGAATGTATACATATTTTTCATTTGTTAAAATGTTGTTAATGAACGATGTTCTACAATATTTTTGTTGAAATTAATTACTGTACGAATACCTTTCACGCTGAACGTATATCAGTTACTTAAAAATATCTGAATGTGTACCTCAGAACACATTTTAGAACGAAACACATACATTTTGTGTTTTTTATATTTTTAGTTTCACGTAGTCAGGTATCACTATTTTGTAAATATTTTTTATCTCTCTATAATATTTTTCTCGATATATGGAGATATAGGAATAACCGTAAGGGAAGAGAAACGTAATGAAAATGAATATTAATTTTATTATACGTAATAAGGCGGTCTCTTTTTTCGTGTTCCTGATGCGTAACACGATTACGCCACTACGGTCACACAAGAAAATTCGAATTACATCAGGATACCACATTACCATAAATTGCACGTATCCTACGAGTACAGTCACGATAATCATACGCGCTTTAATAATGAGGACGAGAACATGTCACCGATCCTATAAAATATTCCGTCCAATTTATGGAACATACAAATATTATTTGCACCGTACGCAGACTTTAGCAACAAATCAAGATAATATCACTGCAAACACGGTACGCAGGGTATCAAAGAGTTAACTTAAAAGCTGACAAAAAATTAATTTGTTTCCTATTATTATGTCGAATGTAATCAATAAAATGAATTAGATCATTGTGAAAGCGCATGATAAATTATGATGAACTGAATCTTTCTTCACTTACAATTTCGATTCAATTACGCCGTCAACTGTATATTTCTCCTTCAACTGAAACAAACAACTCGAATCGTTCTTATTTATTCTGTTCTTTTCCTCTACTTATTTAGCAATTCTTACTCGCTCATAGATAAATAATAAGTGATCAGATAATGAATACCGCCATTACGAACTTACAGGCGGAAAAGAAAATGAAAAATTCAAAGTTCACCGACGAACTTTGAATATGAGTAGCTTCCACGTTATACCGATGATGAAGCAATTATAATGGAAAATTTTCAGCTATGGTAGGTAAAAAGAGGAGGTAAGATAAACTGAAGTTATGGAAAATGGGTCTAAATATATACCAGTAATCATACATTAATTTTAAGTTGATGCAGAAAGTGGAAACTTTTTTTTTACTAACAAAGAATATTATTTCTTCTTTTAAGTCACATGTTTTGAATTCTGTACGTGAATTATTGAAATTACAAATTTATAGCAGATACAGATAAAATTCTAACAAAATTAAATTGAAAAAGCTCGAACAATTTTCGTTCTTTTTTATTCTTTCTAGCGACTAGGTATCCTTCCTATTTACCAAATATTTTCGTCCAAGCGAACAGAATCCACTTTATAAAACGTAAAGGGTGCATCCTACGTATGGCGATAAAAGCGATTTTACGGTAGCTTGAATTTGGAGCAAGTCCAAGTCGAAAATCGATCGACCTTTAAACTAACCAAGCACATATACGCTTACCACAACGTTACTAGACAATGAAATGAACAAAGTATCACTTCACCGTCGGGAATCGCCTCGATACAGATCTATCCTTGACAGGAAAAAAGTTTATTTAGAGCGAAATTGTTTCGCTTTACGCATTAAAACGAAAGACGATTTTTTGAGATATAGTAAATATTCTTGAAATATTGCACTCGACAGAAATAACAAGATAAAGGGAAAAAGGCTGATAAAAATGATAAAGTTGGTTTTAAAAAATATGAGAATTTATAGACAATAATGTACGTATCAATATGGTAAATCACACAATGACTAATACATGAAACTAAACTAAATGAGTTTCATCGTTAAAGCGTGATTTACTGTTTATACCAAAAAGAAAAAACACGACACGTGAGAGGAAAGATGAGAAAAAGATAGTTGAGAATACGCAAATGGAAACTCGCTCTCGGATGAATTTCAATCCTCGAATAAAAACGACCAGCTCAAAGCATTTAAACGAGCATAAATGTAACAGGGCTAACCAAGCAAATGAAAACGCGTTTCGTTACTACGCACTTAGATCGTTTTAGGCACAAAACCTGTATGTCGTGAAAATGGCGAAACAAGAATAACATCGAGATTATTTAACCCGGAATAAAAACAGCCTGGTGAATTTTAATGACTCTCAATACGTCGTCGGCTGAATGTTTTTGCATGTTTTTTTATCTAAGGAACTCGAATTATGGTATTTATTCAAGCACATTTTAGGTTCTTATACGACAACAGATCAGAAGTTCCAACAATTTTTGTGTTTGGAATACATCGAATTGTAAATGCACAGAGAGATCGCAGAATAACAGCGTTGGTTGATCGTGTGTTATAATGTCGGTGTTTTGAAATAATACAGCAAAGTATATGTGAGGTAACTTCGCAAAGTATAAATAGTTAATAGAATTTTATGTTCGTTAACAGACGTTTATCGCTTCATTTAAAAAATAAATATCAGAGATTCCTGGAATTTTTATCCGATTGGCTCAAATTATGTGGTTTTGCGTTTCCATTCGCTAACTAATCTTATGTACACATGTGTATAGGTATGACAAGATAATAATAACGACAGACCGATAATTATGTTCATTACAAAATGGTTTATATCTTCGGGAACACTTGAACAGCAAATGTATGAATAAATGAATGAAACCGAGTTCAACTGAATTAACGCATTTATGTAATATTCATAGCTGAAAGGACAAAATTTAGCTACTCTTTCTGATTGAGATTCGATCACGAAGAAAACTCGACCACGTGTAGTTAACTTATTTATTCACCACTAATAAATCGACACAATACGCAAATTACTCATTACATAATACCTAATATATAATTACATAATACCTGTATAATACCTATTGAGGTTATTCGGTGTGTAAACAGAGAAAACACGTGGATAAATTGTAAGGTAGAAAATATATTTAAATAGAAGTGTAATAAGTAAAAAATACAATTTGAGCTGGTCCAGATCCGCACGCTAGCTGTGTTACCTAATAACTGAAAAACCCCGAAGCCAACGTCGCCTGTCTACTGTTTATGGCCTGACTTCGTCGCAGTCTTTTGTCTACACGCTGTCGATGGCTTCAGTGCTTGAGAAAACTAAAAAAGACCAGATGTAGAGTTTTCTTAGAAGTGGTAACCACTTCAACACCCTCCCTAAAACTCTACATCCCTACAAACAATTATCTCAAATTTACAAATTATCTCTTAATATTTTCTAACTCTTGTCGTAAATATCTGAAAATTAATTTGTCAATGCCTTCTCAAGTACATTTGCCAGCCGCCTTTCTCTTTTCCATACAGATTAATTTATTACACAAAAAAAAACTAGAAGACTAAACAGATCATGTAGAGTTTTTCCTCTTTGTTTTGAGAAGTAATAATCACTTCGACACCCTCCCTAAAAACTCTACATGTTTACAAACAATTACCTCTTAATATCTTTTTTACTTTTCAAACCTAACTTTTTCCTTAAACATTCAAATCTCGGTTTTGGCAACGCCTTTGTACATATATCTGCCAATTGCTCTTCGCTTGTTACATACGTTATATCAATTTCGCCTCTATTGTATAAATCTCGCAAGAAATGATATCTTACGTCAATATGCTTACTTCTTTGATGGAATTCTGGATTCTTAATTAATTTCACGGCACTAGTATTGTCTACACATAGCATATACTTAAGGATCTCTAATTTACTTTCAAGAAATATTTTCTTTAGCCACATAATTTCTTTCGCTCCTGAGGCTGCACTGACATATTCAGCTTCGGTCGTAGATAGAGCTATACATTGTTGTAAGAATAAGTTTCATATTTCAATCAAATATATCATCAAGAACTAGGGGAAATAAAATTTGAACAAATTTTACATAATATACGTAATATATCCATAAAAGCTTTTTATGATAGATATTCCAATACTTTTGTAAATAACTACATATGTATATACTTTCTTCGATATCGTGCTGTGACAAGTCACTGTCACGAATATCAGTCGCCTCTGGCAAATTAAGAGTAATTTTTCATTGAAAATTACCGATGAAAAACAAATCGTTGTGTCAACATAAGTTCCACCCAGAAAAACGCTACATTATCATTTATTGTTTAAGTATCGGTATCGAACACATACATTCACCGATGTCACGATACCGTGACATTTCTGGGGGCGTTGCAATTTATGACAGTTGGACCTACTGTCACTTGAGCTAATGCGACAGCAGGTCAATGGCAGTCATATAATCACTCAAGTCGTTCTAATAATCAGCTCTCTCACTCTTTGCTCCTTCATCGGCAATTCGTTATTTACTAATTAATTTCATATTACGCGCGAATTTATTCTGCAAATAATATAAAGTTCTATCAAACTTTTTCACGATCCATAAACGTTGTAGCGGTCGCACCAGACGTCGAATGACTATATTTCAGTGATAATCCCATCGATCTTCTAATCTTAAAACTAATTTATATATTAAATTCTGGAAATACAAATTTCCCAACTAGTCGAGCGTAATCGTATTGTATAATGATTGCGTAATGCATATTTTGTTTTGAAGAAAGAAGAAGACGTAAAAACATTTTACTTTCTAACGAAATGCAATATCGGAATAGTAGAACATTTAATCTAGTTGAACTATTAACACCATGTTATATATAATCACGAATACCATTACAACTACCGATGCGACAGAATTTTCAACTGCTAACTGGAATAACAGGTTAATTTAAGTGCCCAAATAAAACACTGTTTCCAAATAAAACAGATACGTTAAATGTTGGGATATAAATTACTGAGTATAAATACACTGGCATGATATCAAACCAGGAGTAAGACCACGATCGGAGCAGAAGCAGTGAATCGCCGATTGGGTTTAATCGTTTCACACAGATGCTCGAAAAAAGGAAAAGAGTTAATGCCAGTTCCCCTTGAATCGGCATTCTCGTATTCAGTGTTACATAACACTTACCTTTCCCACTTTCTCTCTACTCTTTGTGTCAACGACGACGCGCAGAGGCCGGTTACTCTTCCGTGCTCGCCCACGTGCTAGATACTCGCTTCCTTCCTTTCTCGCTCTCTCTTTCCGTCTCTGTTCGTCGACTAAAACCTACGCGAAACCGACAACCTTGGCCTTTGACGCTTCAAACGTGACTCGTACGAGTCGAAAAACGATGCGTGCGATCACGAAAAACGTATTTTTTTCCAAAGCAAAACGCACTACCTGTTTGCATATTCTGGACGGCCACAGTGAAAACTACCGGTTCTATCGAGCGTTTCTCCGCATCGAGCCAGTAACTGACCTTCTCAACGCAACTGGTTTTCGCGTAAGTACACGTTTGGCCCTCCCCTTGTCAGCCTACAAGATCTCGTCACCATTCACTCGACATTCACCGCAACGTTCCGCGTTGCAGTCACGACTCTCGTTCACTACGTTGCTACTTTTTGTCCTTTTGCCAATTCTTCCTGCCTCTTTGCTCGGTTTCTTTTTCTTCTTTAGCGATCGTGTTGCTATCCGCGTCGTACATCGACAACGCCGAATCGCAAAACCAGCTCTTCGTGTTGCGTCGCGTCTCGTGAATGAGAAACCCAGAGAAGGATCGAAAGAAACACGGATACGACCCGCGCGGCGTCTCGGCAAAGACTGGCGAGGTGACCGGCCGCGAAACGACGCGACGCCGACGTCGACGTCGACCTAAAGCACGACCGAGTCAATGACAGCAGGCGTGATTGGCCGGAGGCGCGAGCTCTGCTCGCTACATTGGTCGTCGTCGACACTTGCGAGTCGACACGAGTCAATGCGCTTTTTAATTAAACCATTTGCATGCATTGATAAAATGCGCCGCAAAATATCGACCAAGGTTACAGTTAATTTCACGCGGCATTAGTGAATCTCGATCATTGTAACTTCGCGCGAACAAATATCGCTCCGTTTGTGATAACCTTTAGATTATAGTTACAGTGAGCGAGATTCGCGCCAATAGCATAGACATGATTATACAACCATAATAAACCTGGTACTACTATATCTACTACGCGTTAGTAAAAATTCATTTCATCGTTCACGCAAAGACGCATCCATTGTAATGATAACATAAGAATCGATGTAAACGAGCGATGAAAAACTCGGCATACTATGTATATAGCTACTTATTTCGAAAAAGTTCGTATCGTGCTTTGTATCACAAAAGTCTGCGGCTTTGCAAAAAAGGACTGAGGGATAGGATGAATAATGAATATCGTTGAACGAGTGGGCGCAGGACACCGACGTTTTTGATCGCAGAAACAAAATTAAAGTTCGTGCGGACGCATGATACCGAGACACGTGATATCTTCGGTCTGGTGAATTTCATTGCATTTCCTGTACAATATTTAAATGAGAAAAGCGAGTCACATAAAAGTGCAAACTTGTCCTAAAAATGGAGTTTAATCGAGATTACCCATAGGACATCCGGTCAAGTGAAACAAGCCATTGAGACGAAAAGTGGACTAAGTTACATTCTTTATGAACGGCAGTTTATAGCATTAATTTATTCCAATACTATATTAATCTTACAAAAACGAAGGAATTTATTGCTTCCAAATCAAATCTAAATAACGAAATCAATCGAAGAATTCATAGCAAACACAACTTGTATAATAATTTTGTAGCTAAATCAAATTCTGTCAAAGGTAGGCAACTGTTCACGTAACTTTGAGCGGTAGTATAGTTTAAAGATATAGTAATCACCAGTTATATCGCTACCTGCAAACTTGTTGGCGCATAGCCAAACCATGTCAAGCATACGGGTTACCCGTTTCACGAGTACCCATAATTTTCATTCATATACGCAATATCAAATATATTTATATCTATAGCTCTATTTTTAGTCGATATTATAAAAATTCTCATCGTTAAGCTTTCGTAGCGTTTCAAAGATAACAAAGACTCGTTCGTAAACGAACGAACTTACTGCGCATCGGATCGTGTAACACTATATTACACAATTAACGTGGCGTAGCTTTCTCCACGATTTTGTTAAAAAACTTCTAAATCGTAAGATAAGTCTGTTCCGTAAATTGGAATCGTTGAAGCGCAGTGAAAATTATAGCTCCGAGTAATTTTTTAAGCACAGACGAATCTCACTTTCTCTACACAATTACATTTCTAATCTAATTAAAACGGCCAAACCTTTATATTTGCTTTCAGGCGAGACGCAGATTTCACGCTAACCTTGGCACTGCGATCTTCTCACGGTAGTGTCAACGTGTAACGCGCTAGTTCGCGTCCGGTGCGCTTGTCTTCCTCAGACATGTGCGCATACGTTGTATTATGCATGACTAGGGTGTTAAGTATGAAAAGGAAAGATGGAAGAGCTTCTTGCCGCGGGCGTGAGATGCATGAGAGGACGTCTCTCGCTCATCTTTCTGAAAGACAATGGAACCTGGCATCCGCCGCTTTGAATCAAGTTATTGGCACCAGTTACTTCCGTTTAACATTACGGAATTTTCGCCGCGTAACTTCTTTAATGGCCGTTAAATATATACGGCGGACATAATTGGTTAACGTACCGTGTCTTTGTTCCCTCGATAATTTCGGAACGAGCTTAAACGGTTTCATAGAATATTCCGTTACCGTGAAGCACCATGCAACCTACGGGATGTTTAACGAGCAAACTGCACTGCCCTAACACGATATCCCGCTGTTACCAGCCAAAATATATCGAGTCTCCGTAGTATTCCCTACGTGACTTGAATAATTTAGGCAGCCGGTTTGAGTAGATCCTTCGAAATTGCTGTTTCTCGTTATCGATGCGACAGATTCATTTCGGGGCGACTGGACCCGAGGCTAATCGACTACAATTAGTTCTCTCTCCCATAAAACATCTCGTTGATCCGTGTAACAGAGCCTTTAAATTCGGCCGACGACCTATGGCTGCTGTGTTCGTGGAAAGAGTACGGAAGGCAGCTACCGTTCGAGCTCTCCGTGTAAAAACTGATAAGGAAAATATATATTCCCATTCGACTTGGCTTCTATACTCTTTCGCGCTCCCTTAAACTCCGTGAATGCTGACGAGGTATCTTGGAACCTGGCCAATTTACACCCTACTCTTTTTCGGATAATCAGATAAAAACGCTATTGAAATAATCTCTTTATTCCTGCTGCAGATCGCAGTCCTTCGAACTATAAATAATATCCTGCCAAATGAAAAATTCACTGATCATTCAAATTTCCTATTTACTTATACTGCTTGTTCATTGTTCGATAATCTTTTATCTTATCGATTCGTTATGTTCATTATATAATCTCTTTTATCTTATTGAAGAGTTAACATAATCAGTAGCTACATCATAATCAGTTGTCTGTACTCGACACTGAAAGGAGATGATCCAGCACGAGTGGAAATAATTTCACGCCTTCCTCGTTTATCAGAAACCGATCGAAATCGGAAGTGTGTTACTTACTAGACAATAATGTTTTTACAAAAAGTGAAATTACTTTGAACCATTTGATCAAGAACTCTGACTAACCGTTAATCGTTATTTAACGTTAGAATTTGCCAAGTAATCGCATAGTCGTGATATTGTATTTCATATTTAACTAAGAATCCTATATTTGCTACACCTTGTTGCATCGCAATAATGTTCATTCACAGTGGCAATTTAACTTGTAACGGTTTGTTGCGTGTATGCAAAAAGTGTAATTACGTTTGAAAGGACCATATTTCAAAGAGGTAATATCGAGAATTGAACCGAAACGCTGTGTTGTATAGTGTTGCACACACTATATTCCTATTACACATTTATACCAACACTAGCTTTGTGCTTTGCATTGAATACAGAAAATAACTGTGTATAACCACTGCATGTACACTCGCATTAGAAACCTAGAATCAATGATTATAGTCTGTTTGATGACATTTATCACAAGTATCAACATGCTAAAAGTAAGTTTAAAGAAATCGACGACCTTTTATGTTCATATCGTAACGTAATTTGTATCATATTACTTGATACAATATAATAGCCACTACATACTCCATTTGAACTCTATTTATTGGAACGAAATTTTAGTTAATACCCAATTAACCAAATACATGCAGATTGAATGCTATTATCTGATTATCAACTCCTGTTACATGAATTCTAGTGATATGTACAATAGGAGCTTGATTATCCGATCTAATCATAACACACGCTATTCCGCTAATAGAATAATTTTGCTTTAACGTAAGAGATGGTCATTTAAGTATTTTGAACTACATATACGTATATATATATATGTATATGTTTTTCCAATTTTTCGCATTCAGTCCTTCAAAGTTCCAACTTTTTCGAAGGGAACTAGAAAGCGAAGTAAAGCATCCTTTACTCCTTATATAACGTTTTCGTAAGGAAGATGTAAATCTGTACCGAATGAAAATTCTATCACAGCATTCGCGATACGAATAGAATTGTCCAAACAGCAATCGATACGTTTATTTATGACAAGTCGTTATGACAGCACTCTTGAAATTGCTTCTCCTTTTGCTCCGAGATTTATGAGTCGCAAATGTTGCTCGCAACCAATATCAAACATCAGTCTTATCCTTGGTCGTTACAGAAATGCAATTTACATATTGCGATACGAAAAATAACAAGGAACAATGCCAATTGCTTTGTTCTTTAAATCGAACGAAGAAGAAGTGATAAAATACTTTAGTTTTTTATTTAAGGAGACAGTATACATCTGTGCTTTGAAAAAATATTTTTGAGAGTTTTAACTTTCAATGCAAGACACGTAGTTCACATCGATCTGCGGCAAACTCGTTTAAGGTAATATACGGAGAGGCGCGAGTTCCTAGAACGAGGAACATATTTTCCGAAAGCCATGGAGTTGTATGTGGCGGAATTTACCGTTAGCTTCTCCTCTACGAGGAGAAACTAGAAACATTTGCTAAATCGTAACTACCCAAAAATATCAATGCACCTAGCTAAATGGTAGTAGAAATGCAAGCCAGCGAGAGGGTTTTATCCTTTCAACGAAACACTTGTATCTTATACGGACGAGTTTTTTCTTTCGATCCACCAGATTTTACCAGAACTTACGTAACTGGTAAAAGTATGAAGAAGCTAAAGTTCATCAAGCTTCGAGACTGGTCACAATAGTCCTTGAAATAGACATAATATCGAGAATAATAAAAATGCTAACAATGAAATTCGGTTCCATATTTCCCCAGTCTGTTTACAAAATTTCTTTAAAATGTTCTTTCAGTGTTATGTGGTATTTATGGATTCGCTTAACTAGTCAGATAACTAGTCGGTGAAATAGCTTTACGGCATACCAGAGTACGGTGTTTCTGCCTGTTCCTTTCAATTTTCTTGCTTCTTCGGTTGATTCGCTCCGCAAAACTCAGGATAGTAAAGTTAACTTGCCATCTTACCAAAGGTACCGCGAAATAGCACAAATCCCCCGCCCCGCATCGTCAGCAGTGCACGGTTTAACAAGGAAATCGTTAGACGGAGCGTGATTAACCCCGCCGTTGCGATAATAAACGAGCTACGAGCTTCATAACTCATCGGTGCCCTGGTCTCTTTCTTGTTTGCTATTATGTTCGCATGTTCTTCCTCGCCCTGCTCGATCTTTCGCCTCTAATTAATATAGATCACAAAACATTTGATACGTACTTCGTTTACTGCTAACAC